ATTAAAGAAAACGGCGATACTGAAGTATGAGCTTGATGGTGACGAAGGCCGTGTCGATGCGCAGGGCGCGGATCTTGGCACGATAGTTGTAGAAAGTGCGCGAGGGGGGTCTCGCCAGCAGAGCAACGAGGCTTCTCGCCTTGTGGTCATTGGTCAAGGGCGGGCAACGATAGAGGACATCCAGGGCAGGCTCGGCAAGCAGAGTGCAGCTACGCGCAGTGTGGAGGAGCCAGTTGACGTCAATGCCGTCAGGTGAGTCGGACGCGGCAGCATAGCTCATGACGGCAACCCAATTATAGTACGTCATGAGAGGACTGTCCCATGCTGGACTGGTGGACGCTTCCGATTTCGTTTTGGACGCCAGTGGCTTCTGTTGCTTGAGGTGCTCGCTGCGGGCATCATGGCCGATGAGCGAAGAGCGGCGCTGCCAGCTTGTTTCTGGGGTACCGTGGGCTGTGACCGCAGCCGTCACGGACTCTTCTTGAGGCCTTGGCACATCGTCGCCAGCTTGGGGCGTGCTGATCGCCTGTGCTTCCCCTCGACCATCTCGATCGCCTCGCAGGAGATGTTGCGCCGTGAGCTTGCTGCGAGTCGCACGCGAGGCCTCTGTGGGTGGTGTCGAGTGCCGTAAACGGCGGGAGGGGTTACGGCGCGGCGAAGGGGAGCCTTGAGCGACCTTGGGGGTTTGCTTGTGGACGCCCATCACTTGCTGTGACGCATGGGGGCTTTGATGAGGGATCGAGGTGTAACAGCCAGTACGCCGCCGATGGATATGCAGGCACCGATCCGGCGTGCGCCGTACGGGGGAGGCGGGTGCCAAGCTGGTGGGGTTGAAGCTTGCTGCGTGCCGGGAAGCTAATGCGGCTCCGATTCTAGGCCCCTGGTCCTCGGGTACGGTAGCCGTTCGCAAAGACTGACTGGCCACCAACCAACCCAGGCGGGCGGAGAACGAGGGACGAAGCGCGGGTCCTAGCTGGTCTGTGACCTCTCGACAACGGTGGGCATCTATCTAGGTCCTGCAAAGACAGGAGACGCAAGGGTGAAAGTTGGTTGTGGCGAGTAGTGAGTGAGGGCCAGGACGATGAAGTCACAGTGTACCTAGGTATGGTGTGAGCTGTGTTGTTTGGCGGTGACGTCTATGACTGCGTTGCAGTATGATGCGTGCAGGCTCCCATCGACAAGGAGAAGGAAGAGCAAGCTGTCGAGGCGAACTGCGTGGGTGGACGGTGGAAACCCGGAGAAACATGCGAAGAAAGATCACCAAGATGAACGTCGCTCACGGCGGCTTCCAGGTTGTGTTTGGAAGGGAGCAGCAGCAGCGGCAGTAGCAGCAACCGCGGGCGGCAGTGGCAGTAGCAGCAGCAGCAGCACCTGCCGTGGCAGCATGAGCAGGTCCGCCGCCACTGCTGTCCGAATGTCCAATGTCCCATGTCGGCACACGCAAAGCTTATCGCTTATCGGAGAGCATTTTCTGACAAATGAACGTGCTGGACGGGAAAGGAAGGAAGGCCCTGCCCCTGCCCCTGCACCTGCCCCTGCACCATCTCATCAGTCATCACTCTCCACCTCAGTTCTCCTTCCCCCAAGCCACTCGAGCCTGCCTTGCCTTGGGTGCCGCGAGGAGGAAGTCGTCACTGGCCGCCCGGTGGGAGGAAGGTACTCCGAGACGCGTCTCTCGCGCCCACCGTCCACTCTATCCATCCACGTCGTCGGGCTCACCCTCGCGGCTGCTACGCTCTCGCAATCCCCGTCGTCCCCGGCCCTGCCCTCTCGCCGGCCTTGTCCTTCTCCATTGGCCATTGAGGCCATTCCTCCATCGCTGGACCACCCTCGGCCACCTTTTTTCTTCTGTTCACCAAGTCGAAGCGGGAAACGGAGCCGCCAACCTTGTTGTCTGCAGGGTGGCATGTGGCGCGTCGACCCCGTGTCACTGCAATCTTCAATCCTTTGTTGAAGGTCCACGCTTCACGGCACGGCCCCCCTTTCTACGTGCGTTCTCGACGAGACGCATTCGCCATTCACCTCTGCGCCACCTCACTCTCGCATCGCGACGCACTGGACTTCGACAGTGTCCAAGAGCCACGTCTTGGCCTCCCTCTTCCTTCGTCGTTCCTTTCCCTGCATGGGCATCATCCACTCTCATTCTTTGCCGTACCTTTCCTGAACCGTCATCCGTCATCAAGCACCCTCACCACCCTCACCATTTCATCTCACTCGACTCGACTCTCTCCCTCGTGTCCCCTCAACGAGAGGCCATGGTGTCACAGCCCGCACACACCCTTCGATATCCAGCCCGTACCACTCATTCGAAACTGG